ACTAATTTCATAATTACGTGGATCCTTGTGGTGGGCTATTAATTGGAAAGAAAATGTTACAAAGTTTAGATTCCGTGAACATTTATATGAATTTGGCCTTTGGCCCAAACCTACGTTTCATGGTTTTCTGTATTGTAGTGTCTCTATATACTTTGGTTATATCTAAAGACACTGAAAAGCTTTAATTCAGAGCCCTCTGTCGAGTTTGTGTGCCATCCTTTTGAAGATGACTAATGCCACGAAAGCTGCTCTGAAGTGGAAGTGCCAGGAGCGAAGTTTTGCAATGAGAGTATGGACTCTGCAGGGAAAGGGGGTGGGTGTCTGTTTCTTCTAGTCCATTTTAAGCTCATTTGTGCAATTGCTGCCTTCTCCATATTACTGCATAACTCCTTTGATCTTAAAGTGGAAGGAAGCAAATTTCAAGAGCCAGGATCACTTCTCATGTGGCTTTAAAAGGAACAGCATATTACAAAATTGAGTGGATGTCAAATAAAACATAAATTTGGATCTTTTGAAATTTGAACTCAGAGAGGTATTACTTTCAGAGCCAAGCACGTTGACAAGCTCAGGGATAAATTTCATTTGTTTGTCATTCATTTAAATTCGAGTGTTTAGGTCAACTTGTTGCCCAGTGTTATTCTTCCTTTATTGGATGTGGCATTTGTACCCAGCATTATACTGTAAGCTTTAAACGTTTAATCCTCATGGCAACATTATAAGACTGTATCCCCATTTCACAAACAAGGACACTAAAGCTCAAATCATCCATACCTGACTCAGAATTCCGTATTTTCCCCATGCCTGGCCTCCTCCATCCTAGACGAAGAATAAAATGTAAACACAGGTTGCTAATACAGCCCTCTTCACTGTTGTCATATTTAAAAACTGCCAAAATTGCTTAGCTTATGCCCATGAATTTTTTTTAAGTGGGAAATTGATTGAAACAGTGAGTGAAAGGGATTATTTCAGTTAGGGTTATGCCTTACTGGAACAAATTCACTTATTAGCATGCTCTTTGGATTCCCCATCCTGAGTTTTGGAACCAAGACATAGACCAGAGGATGAGCTCAGTATTATTAGTAAGTTACTTTGACCAGCCAATAATCTTCATTTTCTCTCCTTTTCTCCTCGTTCGTCTTCTCAACACCAGCCATATTAACCGCCAATGAAGACAATGGGAGCTGAATGGTTGTTGTCGAAGGCTTGGCTTTTATGCAGCTGTTTAGAATCTGGGGTCAGGTTCCTGAATTCAGATGAGGTGAGGTCTGAGTATCAGACACGGAGAAGCTGTAATCAGAAGTGACCAAAAATTGAACCTGGACTAGGTTGACTGGTTGTTTTCCTTTCTCATAGCCTACAAATATTATTGGTGTGTGTCAGTCATGGAAGGTTAGAAACACTTTCTTTGAGCCTTCATATTATCAGATGAGACTAAATGCTTTAAAAAATTCCTGTCCTAGTCTTTTTTGTGCTGCTATCACAGAATACCATACTGGGTAATTTATAATGAACAGAAATTTATTTGCTTAATGGTTCTGGAGGCTGAGAAGTCCAAGAGAATGGCCCTGACATCTGGCAAGGCTTTCTTGCCACATCATAACCATGGCAACGCATATCACATGAACAAGAGAGAGAATGTGAGAGAGCAAGAGGGGGTTGCAAGGGGGCCAAACTCACTTTTCTCACAAATTCCCTCTGGCAGTAATGATGATAATCTATTCATGAGGGCAGAACCCTCATGACCTAGTCACCTCTTAAAGGTCCTGCTTCTCAACACTATTGCATTGGGAATTAAGTTTCCAACACATGAAATGTTGGGAATGCATTCAAACCATAGTGGTCCCCCTGAGTGTAAAATATTCTCCCTCCTTCAGGATCCAAGATCAGAGTATCTGATAAATGTTGCCATGGTAGAGAAGGGATAACACCTTTTTGGAGGAGCACATGAGTTGATCAGGTGGCCAGCAAATGCTTTATCTTGTGATGTGGAATATTACTGGGAAACTTTTAAGACATACCATAAGCAACATACATTGTTTTAAAAAATTGTTGATATCATAGCCTATTTCCCATTTATTATTATTGCATACAACTCATAGAAACTCTAATGGCTAAATTTTGCTCTGTACCAAATGATTCCAGTTAGTTAAAACAAATCGTTTTATGGGTCAGTAGGTTGGTTGGCTGGTCAGTTCTGGGTATGGCCAGTTCAGCCCATCTCTGTGGACTGCAGATGGTTCCACTGAGGGTGGATGGTCTCAAATGGACTCACTCACCTGTCTGGTGGTGGTAGGCTGGTGAGTCTAGAAGAACGTTAGCTAGAACTACCTATGTCTACTCCTTGTAATCGCTCATCCTTTAATAGGCTAACTTGGAATTCTTCACTTGATCTCAGGATTCCAAAGAATCCAAGTGTTTTATGAGCTTGTGTCTGCATTATGTTCACTAATTTTCCATTCACTAAAGCAAGACATATGGACAAGCCCAATTTCAAATAATGGAGTAATTGGTGTACACTTTTCATAGAGGAGGGCAAAGTCAAGTTATAAAGGTGCGTGTAACAGGGATAGAGGGAATTTGTGGCCATTTTGTCATTTCTCACAGATATTAGAGTAACTACAGGTAGTTAAGCTGGCATCTCCATACTGAAGCAAAGGGACCATCTTTTTGTCTATAGCTTGAATTTGATATGGAATCATTCTCTGGGATCCTTATTTTATTCTATTCTGGTGTCTTGAAACTTGACCACATTTACTGGTTAGGTTCTCCTCTCTTGTGTTCCTGAGCTGTAATTCCATTTTTGACCAGGTTTTAAAATTTTGATCAATTACTTGCTATGGTACAAATACGATGTTTCTTCTAATGCAGTTTTAATTTGGTGTATTCTGTGCATGGTTACCTTTCAAGAATGTTTCATGCTTCAGTCCCTGGCTTGAGCAGCTTCTCAGGCAACTTGGAGGCACACTTATGCCAACTCCCAGAATTCCACCTTTATGATCTGATACTCTGGGTTCCTATTCACTGATTTTTTTTTTTTTTTTTGTATCTGTAGTGTTTACAATGCAGTAGCAAACTCCACATATTTTATTAGTCTATAAACACAATCCTGTATTTAATAGCACCTGTATTCTGAATTGAGGCTCTAGACATGAAGATGTAATCACTATTAACTCATAGAGCATCTAATGAGGGCTTCTAACCGTCAACTTCTGCACCATTGACATCTTAGCCAGGTAAGATGTTGTAGAGAGCTATTCTGAGCATTATAGGATGTTTAGCAGTAGCCCTGACCTCTACCTTGATGTCAGTAGCCCCTCCCCTTGTCATTCCCCTCCCACTGCTATGTGACAACCAAAATTGTCTCCAGACATGGTCACATGTCCCCCTGGTAGGGCAATATCTCCCCCATTTGAGAACCACTGCTCTCTTCTGGAGACGCTGAGGCTTAGGAGAGCTGGAAGTGTGTGGAGTGGGTGTTATTGTCAGAGAGGACACACGAGGAACAGCAACCCAACAGGGAAAATTTGTAAGAGTAGAAAGGAATGTGGAAAATTTTCAGTCACCTTAAAATTCATTCTAGGGGTGGCTCTTGATTCCTCTGAATTGACCTGAAAGCATCAAATTGGATTGTGCTACAGAGTGAAAGTTTCATCAATATCTCAACTTCATTATGTGAGAAGTGGATTATATATAAATACTATCAATGAGGGATGGGGGGAACTATGCTGGCCACAGATAATAGATTTTTGAAAAACTATTTATTTTGGAAAGACTTAAATATACATAAAAGTGAAGAAAATTGTATAATGACCCATCCTGTACCCACCACCCAAGGTCATAAATGATTGATTGAGGTCAATCCTGTGGCATGTATACCCCACTCACTCCCCCTGCTGTTCACTCTTGGATTATTTTGAAACAAATTCAAGACGTCATTTCATTTCATTTGTAAAAATCTCTGTATGTCTAAAAGAAAGTATTTGAAAGCCAAAATTGTGATATGCTGCTGGAATTTTAATCTTCTAGAATGGGCAAGAATGAGGAGTTCTGCTGAGTAGTATTAGAAAGTTAAGGGAAAGAAGAGATGGGAGGAAGACTGAAGAGGCTTGACTTTTGAGGGGGATTAAAAACCCCAGGAGGAAATGAGGGTGGGAGACACCTTCTCTTCAAGCTTCTCTCTCCCCTCTTCTTTTGCTTTCCATAAATTTTAGAATATGTGATTTTTCACAAGGGACTGGGATCCTTACAAAGGAGAATAGGCTGGTAGGAAACAGATTCATTTCTAAAAAGAAGGGAAAAACATAATCACCAGAAAATGTTGAAATCTTCCCTCAATGATGGATTGCTCTCTTATGACTTTCAATGACTTTTTAGCCGATTGGGCCTACTTTTAATAAAACAAGGCAAGAAGAAAATCTTGCAGTTGCTTTTTAAGATTTTCCTGGCCGGGCTCGGTGGCTCAAGCCTGTAATCCCAGCACTTTGGGAGGCCGAGACGGGCGGATCACGAGGTCAAGAGATCGAGACCATCCTGGATAATACGGTGAAACCCCGTCTCTACTAAAAAATACAAAAAAAACCTAGCCGGGCAAGGTGGCGGGCGCCTGTAGTCCCAGCTACTTGGGAGGCTGAGGCTGGAGAATGGCGTAAGCCCGGGAGGTGGAGCTTGCAGTGAGCTGAGATCCGGCCACCGCACTCCAGCCTGGGCTACAGAGCGAGACTCCGTCTCAAAAAAAAAAAAAAAAAAGATTTTCCTTGGACTATAGTATTTGTCTCCTGTTATAATGTATTCTGAGAAGTTTCTTTTGATTTAGACTTCCTCACTTGATTTTATGATGTCATAAATCTTCTGAATTTGGTGAGGGCCATGTTGTATGTGAGAACTAAGCAGCTTGCTAGATAACATCTACTCCCCCCTCCCTTCTCTTTAGAAGATTAAACTGAGACTGTTGTGCCTGATGCCAGAATAGATTTAACCAATCATGTTTCCTTTACATGTAGGTCAGTCCGAGGGACAATTCTGCACTGGATCCTATTATCCATGGGTTGAAGGGTGTTGTACATCATGGTAAGTATGCCACATACACTTCCTTTTGCTGGGATGTGAAGGGCTCAGATCTCTACCTAAAGGAACCAGGTTATCTTGCAGAGGACAGAGGGTGACACCCATTCCTCATCCCCTGATGTTGAAGGGCATTAGAGCCATTATTTGATGGGTAAAGAGCACGCCCATTTATTACCTGCAAATGGGTCTGGGTTAACAGTAAGCAATTTGTTTCTTTTCAGGTACCAGTTTGAATGCATAGGTTATAAATCAAAACACCCTAAGATGTACTGTTCTTATGTGTTGAACTTGCCATTTGTTTCATATCTCTCCTAAAAACTATTCTTTCAGTTGTCTTTTCACCTATAAATGTTTGGTTTGCGTCTCAGATCTAGGGAAGCATTTTAAGTAGCCGGACAAGTCATTAAACTTTGCAGCATGTGAGCAAGCATCATGCCGCTACTAGAATGGAAAAGGCCAGGCTACTGTTCTGTGCTGCAGACCTCTTATCCTCAGGCATAAAACCAGGAGAGAAAGTAAGATAAATGGGTTCTGTCTTTTCCAACTGGTTTTTATTGGAAGAATTTCCCTGCAACTTTATTATCAGCACTGCATCATTACCTATGACATCAAGATCCTCTAATTGCAAAAGTACCCTTGTCGCAGTGAGGTGTGCAGTCTAGATGTAGTGTAATGATTTGCAAAGTTTTAATAATCTAATTAGAATTCCAGAGACGTTGACAGAAATAGCATTAGTAACCATAATAAATCTCCCCTTCATCTCCACAGCTGTGATAAAACATCTTCACACCTTTTTGGGAGGATTGTCTTTAGACATTAGCCAACTCCATAGAGCTTAACAAACATCTTCCCCCTCTCTTGCAGTGAAACTAAAACCAGTTGTCAGGGGTCAATTGGAGCAAGTAGGATTTTGGATTAATTTTTCTGTTCTCAAAATTGGTCAGTCATGCAGCGGGTAACAATAATAAACCTACTCAATATAGAAAAATAGGGTTACTAAAAATACCACATAGAGGCTTTCATTTTAAGATAGTTCTGGGCCAGGCACAGTTGCTCATGCCTGTAATCCCAGCACTTTGGGAGGCCGAGGTGGGTGGATCACCTGAAGTAAGGGGTTTGAGACCAGCCTGATCAACGTGGTGAAACCCTGTCTCTACTAAATACAAAAATTAGCTGAGCATGGTGGTAGGCGCCTGTAATCCCAGTTACTCGGGAAGCTGAGGCAGGAGAATCACTTGAACCCACGAGGCGGAGGTTGCAGTGAGCCAAAATTGTGCCATTGCACTTCAGCCTGGATGACAGAGAGAGACTCTGTCTCAAAAAAAAAAAAAAAAAAAAAAGATATGTATTTCCATTGCTTCTTCCCAGTTCTCAGTTTCTGGAAGGGCACTAATCCCATCCTCCATTCTTGAGGACTCTTACCTCCCAAAGACTCCACTTCATATCATAAACTTGGGGATTAGGATTTCAACATAGGAATTTGGTTAGGGGACACAAACCTTCAGGCGACAGCAGAGGCTGTTACATATGGAAAAACGCTATCTGGCTCTGGGAGGGTTGCCAGGATGCCCAGGGTGTGGTTTCAACCCTACCCTCTAACTGGGAAGTCAGACGAGACCTGCAAAATACACTGACCTACAGAGGAAGTTCACTTATTCATTCAGCAGAAATATATTGCATGCCCACGCTGTGCAAACCCAGATTTGGAACACTGATTAAGACAGACACAGGCCAGCTCTCATGGACCTAGAAGGGAAGTGAAGTGCTGCCTTCCTCTCCCACCAGCCTGCCTGGTATGCAGCCCCTCCCAGCTTATGCATTTGCTGTTTCCTCTGTCGGGAGAGTTCTTCCTCTGCTTGTGCCAAGGGTGTCTCCTTCTTATGCCTTCAGGTCTCAGCTCCCATATTGCCTCCTTAGAAAGTTGTTTCTTAAGTATCCTATCAAATTATTCATCCCACCCCACTCCCATCACTCTCTGTTACACCATCCCAGGTTTCTTTCTTCAAAGCACTTACATGTATCTGAAATAACTGTTTGTGTATTTGCTCATATATCAGATACTTGGGTATCAATTTCCTGAGGGCAGAAAACCATGTTAGTGTGGCATGCTGTGTCTGGCAAATAGTAGGTGCTCAGTATCTTAGCCAAATGACTGAATCAAGTAAGCAGACAAATAAATAAGTGAAAATTTCAAAATGTAGAATGGGATGAAGGGAAGGAAGAACTAAAGCCCATGTGGGTTGTGCCTTGATTGGGAAGAAAAAGGAGTAGGAGTATGTCGTTCTTCCAAAAGGGAGTGGAGGACATTAGAAACAGTTTTTAAAAAACAAAAATAACGTTTGTTGGAGGCCAGGTGCAGTGGGTCATGCCTGTAGTCCCAGCACTTTGGGAGGCTGAGGTGGGTGAATCGCTTGAGCCCAGGAGTTCAAGACCAGTCTGGGCAACATGGCAAAACCTTGTCTCTGAAAAAAAATACAAAATTTAACCAGGCATAATGGTACATGCCTGTAGTCCCAGCTACTTGGGAGGCTGAGAGGGAAGGATCACCTGAGCCCGGGAGATTGAGGCTGTAGTGAGCCTTGATCATGCCAGCCTCCAGCCTGGGTGACAGAGTGAGACTCTGTCCCCCTCCCCCCAAAAAAAAGCTTTTGTTGGAGCTAGAAGCATTTCAGTTGAAGGTCCTGTGAGGGATTTGAATGATCTATTAATTTGAAGGAACATAAATAATCATGTCCTTCACAGTCTCTGGCTTGGGAACAATGATAGAGATATGTAAAGAGAAAAATCAATATGGATTTCTGTTGCAGTTCAGAAATGACTTTTATTTCTTTAGCTCTGGGAGTCATATATTAGAATGTTAATTTCTCGTTAATTTTTTTTAAACAAGAAGCATCTTAAGTGTTTCTTCAGCTGAAATGTGAAGGAATAACCTGATCATTTCAGCCAACTGTATTTGACAGTTGGTCATTAGGGTCCTCTGTTAAGCAGACACCAAGGTGGAATTTGAAGTGCAGGAAAGTTTTTTGGCAAGGAAGGACTGCCTGGGAAGGATCAAATGGAGAAGGACCAGGGGTTGGTGGGGAGAGCGTTTGGGCCATGCATGGTGCAGGTCTGACACCTCTGCAAGGAGAGAGGTGAGCTAGGAGGACTGGCTGAAGGCAGCTCTAAGGAGGTCTTTGCCAAGCTATCAGAGAGCCCCAGAGCAAAGACTGCCCCTGAAAGGAGTCCTGTGTTGGCAGGAATGGCCCAGCTCTTGTTCCCCACCATGTGTTGTCATTGGCTGGAGCCTCCCAGCAAGAATAGCCTGATTGTAGATGCTGGGCAGATCCTGGAGGTGCAGCTGCTGCAGGCTGTCAGCTCAACAAGCTCCTCACAGCAACTTGTCTCTGGAAGGGGGATCTCAGGGGTGCATGCTTAGGAGTGGCACAGAGCTTCACATCTCCTTCCAGAGGCACCTTCCTAATCACACTTCCATAGTGCTTAGAGATTGTTACAAACAGTCCTGGCTCATTTTGTCCATAGTTACTGAGTACCTAATCTCAGTACACCATGAAGCTAGGCATTGAGACATGGACCTACCCTCACCACATTTGCATATGCTTGGTAGAGATGTACAGTTAAGTGTGTAATGACATTAAAGTGTGGGAAGCAGCACGCTAAACTCAAACTTGGGTGATTGGAAGTGTCTCAAACCAACTGAACATTAAGACCTAAAGAGTGCATGGAGATTGTCCAGGCAGAGAAGTGATGCAAGCAGGACCAGTATAGATGAAGGTGTCTGTTGGTAAGAGAGGATGTAGTATCTTTGAGGCTTGGAGAATGGTGACTGATATGGTTTGACTGTGTCCCACCTAAATCTCATCTTGAATTCCCACGTGTTGTAGGAGGGACCCAGTGGGAGGTACTTGAATCATGGGGGCAGGTCTGTCCTCCGCTGTTCTTGTGATAGTGACTAACTCTCACAAGATCTGATAGTTTTAAAAAGGGGAGTTTCCCTGCACAAGCTCTCTTCTCTTGTCTGCCGCCATGTGAGACATGCCTTTCACCTTCCACCATGATTGTGAGGCCTCCCCAGTCACGTGGAACTGTGAGTCCTTTGAATCTCGTTCTTTTGTAAATTGCCCAGTCTTGGGTATGTCTTTATCTGCAGCGTGAAAATGGACTAATACAGTAACATTGCTTCTCTAATGCTTTTCTAGGGAGAGACAGCCTAGAAACCTCTTGACCACATGAAGTGCTGTGTCTTATGTGTTCATTTTTCTAGGCAAATTTTGATTTTTACAAATTCAAGAGCCATGAGGAAATATAAATAGAATGGAGTGAGGTGATTTGCCATTGATTCTGGTCCCATCTATCTACTCATGGAGTGATAGATGGAAGCACTAAAATGTATCTAAATCAAGTATTTTATTTGCCCTATTATCAACATCCACTGGAGAAGAAAGACCTAGGGGAAGATTGTAAATCCTATTCACTGTATTGGTTCAGTCATTAGCAGCACTTTTTGTATATAAGAACCAGCAGTTGCAAGTGGCCATTTCAAATAAAAATACTGGTTGCTAAGAACTTAGTCTAGTTCTGATGGTTTAAAATCCATTTTTCAAAAAAATCCTGTTTGTGAATCAGTGTAAAAATGTAGTCTTCTAAGTGAGAGGCATGAAGTCAGGTGAATATGGCAGATGAGGCAAAACTTTGCAGCCCAATTTGTTCAACTTTTAAAGCCTTAGGTTGTGCAACATGTGGTCAGGCGTGGTCGTAGAGAAGAACTGGGCCCTTTCTGTTGACCAAAGCTGGCTGCAGTTTTCAATGCATCTCATCAAATTGCTAAGCATACTTCTCAGTTGTCATGGTTTTGCCAGGATTCAGAAAGCTATAGTGGATCAGACCAGCAGGAGACCACCAAACAGTGACCATGATCTTTTTCTGGCACATGTTCGGCTTTGGGAAGTGCTTTGGAGCTTCTTCTCAGTCCAGCCACAGAGCTGGTCATCGCCCGTTGTCAT